ACGTCTACGACGACGCGCGACGACAACAGTCGGGAGAAGGCGTGGCGGATGGGACGGCCAATCGCCTCCCCCACTTTTTACCCTCCCGGCCTTCCGATTTCGATTCCGATCCGGTTTTCCGCGATGCGGTTTCCGATTCGATCCGATTCGGCCCCGCCGACTTCTGTCGATTTCGATCTGGTTGCCGACGTCTGCCAACTTCTGCCGACTCCATCTTCGGGTCGATCCGATCCGACTTATCGATCCGATGAAGGGGCCACCTGTCTCTGAGGCCTCTTGAGCAGTTTGGATTCTTTTGGGTTCAGCGAGGCGAACAAGCAAAAACATCCCCAAACAGCGCGCGCACTCAGGGGTATCTTTTCTTTTCCAAGGAAAGGGGCCTGGCTGGCGGTCTGGCGGCCCCGTGCTCGCCATCGCCGCCTTGTCGCCGCCCGTCGTCTGGTCATGGCTGGCGGTCTGGCGGCTCCGTGCTCGCCGTCGCCGCGTCGTCGCCGCCCGTCGTCTGGGCCTGGCTGGCGGTCTGGCGGCCCCGTGCTCGCCATCGCCGCCCCATTGCCGCCTAGATTATACAGCATAGATTGCACCACGTCGATTACACAACATGGGTGGTGCCACAAAGATGGCACCGCATTTTGCGAATTGCACGCCGATTGCACCACGTAAATTGCACGAGGTAGATTTCACCCCATACATTGAACCATATGACACCGCTTACATTTTTCCACGCCGATTGCTCAACGTAGGTCGCACCACTTGTTTTTTTAACATGGCTTTGCACCAAACATTTCCCCGTTTATAAAAAAGAGGCGCCCGCGCTCTTGCGAATTCCTCCGAAAGCCATACGCTTCCACTGTTGTCATCAAATGATTTCAGATATTCTTCGCGCGCGCGTGTCGAAATTGTTCGATCGCCAACGTGCGCGTGCTGTCGCAAGACCCTTGCAACACATGGGACGAAGTGCGCACGCGCGCGTCGTCGCGTGCATGCCGCAATATTTGAAACAAAACCTTCGGCCCCGTACGGAATTCAAAAGAGAGTGCCCCGAAAACATATAGACACACGGCTCTGCATCATCAGTTTTCAAAAATATTGTGCCCGCGCTCTTGCGGATGTGTGGGGAAACCGTCGGCTTTCCAACATGTTCATCACATTCTGCCAAATTGGCCTCCCGCGCCGCATGTCGAATTCATTGGAACGCCCTTGCGCGCGTGTTGGGGTGGCACGATCCGTGTCAAATAACACCACGCGGGCCACCCGCGCGCGTCGGCTGCGCGCGCATGTCGAACTCTTTTTTAAAACCGCCGTCGCCACCGCGAGGACATCGTCATCGTTATCGGCGGGCGTGATCAACATCGGGCCGTCGTTGATTTTGCCGTGGTCATCGCCACCATCGTCACCAGCATCGATATTGTCAGAATCGTGTCTATCGCTGCCGGCGTCGCCATTATACCGCGCCCGCCCCAGTCACCGAGTCGCAGTGAAGGGCCCGCTGGAAAGTACCCTGCGGTCAGCGCCACCGCGGCCGCGTCGGTCGAGTCAAAGTAGCTAGCCGCCATGTGCGCGAGCCACAAGGATGCACCAACCAACGCCAAGCATTCATGACAATCACTGCCGCATGGGTTTCTCGGTCCCGTTACAAAAAAATGCTGTACGGTGACATCTGTTGTTCTGGCATCGCACATTTTCGCGAATCCCATGTGAAACAACCATGCGGGGCACACGCGCGCGGCCGCTGCGCGCGCATGTCGTAATCCTTCCAGCCGCATTTTTGTTTTGTATATTCAACATCCCGTTTTAAGAAAACCAATGACATTTCCACCCACAAACTATGGGAAAACATCTGCCCGCGCGCTCTTGCCGAATTCTTCAAAAAACAAGTGTTTTTTTCAACAGTTCCATAACATGCTACCTAACGGGCTTCGCGCGCGCATGTCGAAATCGTTCGAACGCCCTTGCGCGCGTGTTGGGCCTGGCACGATCCGTGTCAAATAATACTATGCGGGCCATTCTCGCGCGTCTGCTGCGCGCGCATTTTCGCAGTCCTTCCAGAACGTTCATCACCGACGCGAAGACGCCGTTATCGTCGTCGGCGTGATCAGCATCGGCGCCGTATTGGCTGCCCCGTCGTCGCTGTCAGCATTCTCGCCAGCATCGCCACGACCATCATCGTGTCTACCTTCGTCGCGTCGACGTTGCTATGATACCGCGCCCGCCCAAATCGCCGACTCGCACTGAAGTGCCCGCTGGGATGTGCCGAGCTGTCAGCGCCACCGCGTTCGCGTCGGTCGCGCCAAACTAGTTGGCCGTTGCGCGCGCGAGCATGCGCGGGCTGGCGCGGCCGCAGAGATGCACCAGCCAACACCAAGCACTCATCGCAATCGTTTCCGCATGGGGTTCGCAAACCAAGTTACTGGTGGGTGGGTGGGATGTTTTCGCCAAATTCCCCGAACCGTGCTTGCACTGAAGGGGCCCCAGCGGATATGGACATATTCTGCGAAAGTCTGAGGCCGAGTTCGGTGGCCAGCCGGGCTTTCGGTTCCGGGTTCCCGGGCTCCCGGTTGTTGGTTCCAGGCCGATTTCGGTGGATGGTGTGGTCCCCCGGCTTCTGGGTTCCAGGGTTCTTGGTCGGTCTCTCTGGATCGATCGGCCTCACCATCCATATCATCACCCACCTTTTTATCGATTTCGCGATCGATCGCACTATCGATCGACCAATCGATTCCATTATAGATCGCACGAACGATCTCACGACCGATTTCGCGATCGATCTCACCGAACCGAATTCAGTTTCGGTTTCACGACCGACCTTGTTATCGTCCCGAAGATCGATCCCACGATCGATCGCACAGTCGATTTCCACATCCATATTTTCAATTTCCAAACGATCCACAGATTGGGGTTTTTCTTTTGTGTAATATTGCTAGAAACACACGGTGTGGGGTCCACGCTGGCTAACGTATAAGTTGTCCCAAATGATGTGGCGATTTGAATTTCGGTTCCCTCTTGGGGTCCTCTTGGAGCCTTTTTGGGGCGTCTTGGATACCGTTTGGGCAGTCTCGAGGCCATCTGCGTTGCTTCTAGCTCTCCTCGGCATGTTGGAGCCCAGCTTGAGCGTGCTGAGATTGCATCTTGGGCATTTTCGAGGCGACGGGGTGTAGATTCGGAGGTTCCGGACGCCCTGAGAGGGTGCGTTTGGGAACCCAGCCCCCCACCCGCCCCTCTCGAACGCGATTCTGCTCCGTGGGGAGGGGGAAGGGGGGGGGCAGCCAAGTGTCTCGCACGTCTTGTCGCCCCTGATCAGCGGGGGTCGGCGGATCTCCCCGAGCTGGTCTCCCCGAAGCGTCTCCCCTTTCCCGTCGAGTGGGTGTTCAGTCGAGACGCTCAGAGATCGCAGGTCGGGCTCCGGTTGCCGGGCCCTTCCGGAAGTCCGAGTCAGGGGAATTATCCGCACAGAGGCGACGAGGGGGGGCGAACAGCCCAGGGGGGAGCAATACATGCATGCAGTGCGGGCAACAGTTATGTCCACAGCCCGTGCGACTTGGAGTTCTGGGCTCTCTCCCCCAGAAACCAGAGGCGAACTGGATATGGACAAAAAGATTATCCCCCAAAGGCTCGATTTTTATCCATATCCAGTGCGCCTCGGCCTCGCGGCACCAATTCCCAACAAGTTCAAGATGCTCTGGATATGGATATAATAAGTATTGCCCGTATTCCAGTTCGCCGATGAGCTATGTCTTCGAAAGGCTCCCGGGCGAATGCGTGTAATGCCCGCCCGTGGATTATTCGCCCCCCATCGTCGCCGCCGATTCGCAGCCGAGGCTCGCCGTGGCCAGGGAAGCCCCGTCGTTCTCCATTCAACGCTCCTTGGTGTAGCACGATGGCCGTACAGTGCCGTTTTTAATACGTGCTCCGAGTGCGGATCATGTATTAAAAATGCAGGGATCTAGTATGAAAAACAACGATGAGTTCATGCATGAATTTATTCCTAAATGAAGCATGTATTAGAAGTCCTATATTTTTAAATAAAAAATACCATGTATTAAAAACTGCCCTGTATCGATTCTCAGGGGAAGGATGGGGGCGAGTAGTTCCTGCCCCTTTTGAGCAGCATTCGTTGTCGGTGATGCTGCGGCAAACAGTCGCTAGCCAGACAGCGGCCGCCGTCGGTTTTTCCCTACCTAGGCTCTGCCTAGAAGGGTTCTTACTCTCTGGGCTTAAAGGGGCCGGGCAATGGAAAGCGCCCCGGGCGGTTCCCCCAGTATCCGCCCCGCGGTTCCCCCAGTTACGTCCCCTTAGCTTAGCGTTGTTTATCTCATCTTAGCTTAGCTGATGTCATCTTAGCTTAGCTTAGCTTCATCTTAGCTCAGGTTTCATCTTAGCTGTCATCTCAGCTTCATCGTAGCTACCTAGGCTCTGCCTAGAGGGTTAGCTTAGCATAGCGCAGCGCTGCATTAGCATAGCATAGCATAGCATGGCATGGCATATTATAGCCAAACATAGTATAGCATAGCATAGCATAGCGCAGCATGTCATAGCATAGCATATCATAGCATAGCATAGCGCAGCTTAGCATAGCATAGCATAGCGCAGCATAGCACAGCGCAGCATGACATAGCATAGCTTAGCTTAGCATAACATGTTATATCATAGCATAGCATAGCGCAGCATAGCATAGCATAGCATAGCATAGCGCAGCATAGCATGGCATAGCATAGCATAGCATAGCAGCTAATGCTGCTTTCCTAGGGGCTCCAACTTCTAGGTATGGTCGCGCTGGGGTAATTGACTACATCCGCGGTCGGGTATCGCACTCATTGCTTCCGCACCCATGCCGAGCGTCCAACAACAGGGGAGGCGGGAGGGCGAGGAATGGAAAGAGTGATGAGCAGGAGGAGCCTGGCCCCTCTACGATCTGCCGCTCGGGCGGTGCGGCCGGCGGCGATGCCAGCGGCACGGGCGACACGGGCGACGAGTTCCGAGGACATTTGCCCAGCTGCACGTGGGCCCCTGGCGAGACGAATTCACTCAGAGGAAAAGAAAAACAAATTTTTCGATTTGCCGCTCTGCGCTTCCATTCCCGCTCTGACATGGGCCCCTGTGTGAGGTCCTATCCGTAGCCATTTGGGCTCACGCCGCTGGCGTCAGTACGGCCCGCGCGATCAGCCCCCTGCCCAGCTCGAGAGTGTTCTTCCTCGGTCCCCGGCCGCTTCAGAGTCCCATGGCGCTGCCAATGAAGACCGCGATGAAGACTGGCAGGAAGGCCGCGATGAAGACCAGCAGGAAGGCCTCGATGAAGAGGAAGAGCATGAGCACTATCGCCAAGGGCGTGCAGGCCAAGAGCCAAGTGTTGAAGGGTGCGAAGGTGAAGACTTCGGGGGGCCTCACGAAGGATAGCCTCATGAAGAACAAGCGCGGCAAGGTCGTTTCGAAGAAGAAGCACGCGGCGGGCAAGAAGCTGTTCGCCAGCGTGAAGAAATGGGCCGAGTGCGTCGCCAAGGCGAGGGCTGCACTCGGCCTGAAGGGCTTCGTGGCCGTCAACGGCAAGAAGCCGGAGGGGAAGGCGCTTTACGTTAAGGCGAAGGCCCTGTACGCCCAGGCGTAATGAGGGGTTTCGAGGTCACCCGCGATGGGTTATGGGTAGGATGCGTGGTCGTTCACGGTCCTGCGTTCATGAGTCTACGCGTGTTTTCACGACAAACGTCTGTACACTATTTGCGGACCACCTCGCGCAACCTTTGTGTGAGATCTTGCCAGGAAAAGCGTTTTTTTCTGCGGGCGTTCGAGTAGACTTTGGAGGGGCGTCGGCATTGGTATCCCCACCCCCCGAAGTCCCTGGCATGCTCTACCTCTCTCCCCCATTGCGCACGAGCAAACGACGGTGAAGACGACGGCGACGGACACAATGACAACGACATTGACGTCGACGACGCTGACACTGACGACGACGCTGACACTGACTACGAGGAGTCTTGTCATATTGAAGAGCGAGGTTTCCATTTACGTCTAGCCCGACCCGCCTGTTCGGGCCCCGTCCGCCCGACCTGTCCGTTAGGGTCCCGCCAACCCGACCCGCCCGTTCGGGTCACGCTAGCCCAACCAAGTTCGCCCGCTAAAGTTCCGCCCGCGTCGTCATCGTGGTCGTCGGTCATCGTCGTCGATCATCGTCGTCGATCATCGTCGTCGTCGTCGGTGTCGTTGTCTGTCAACATTGTCGTCGTCGGAGGCGGCGTTTTTATCGTCAGCCTCGTCGTCAGCGTCAGCGTCAGTGTCGTTGTCATCGCCGTTCGCATCAGCGTCAGCGTCAGCGTCATCGCGTTTTTCGCCGTGGTTGTTGTCGTCGTGGTCCTCGTAATCGTCGTTTGCCTGCGCGCAGGGGGGGCGTCGTCGCACGAAAGGGGGCGGCCGGTTCGGGCAAGGAAGAGAGGATTTTGCGACACACAGCGCCTTCTGTCGGATTTCCGCCAAGTTGCATTATGCCAAGCCTGGCCGCCCATGCGGTAGAGCCTGCCAGTTTAGTGAATGGATGGGTTCTCAGCCGCTGCAGCCGCAGAAAGGATGAGGAGCGTACGATGGCCGGGGGACATGGCTCTGCGCATTCTGGGGCCTCTCGGACAGAAGCTCCCCAGTCGGTCCCGACAGGTATGGCACGTTTTATGTTTGTGTCGAGTTCGTGATGGGTCCTCGTGGTCGATCTCCCGTTGATACGGTGAAGGCTCGAGGATGTGCGAAGGGGGGCACATGTATAAGCTCATCGAAAAGCAGCACAAGGCATACAGAATTTCTTTGAGGTGCGCCGACTTCTTGGATCTGCGCTGGGCCCGCCTGGCGGCGCCTCCAGCGCCGCCCCTGGCGCGCTCCGCGCGCCATCGGAGGAGCCAGAGCCGATGTAAGAATTCGGAGAGGACCTCCAAGAACTCATGTTATGCAACTTTCTGTTTCTCTAACCCAGGGGAAAAGAACATTTACTCCGCATGCCAAGTCCTCTTTCGAGACCCCTCGCGCCTTCATGTGGCTTCTTGGGACACATTGGACCTGCCTTCGTGTCTGTTGGGTCATCCGGCCCGCTTGCCGCGGTGCTCGTTGTCCGTCCGTGGGCAAATTCGAAGAAAGGGATGTGTAAGTTCTTCATTGTTGTTTTTGTATCAGGCCTTTCTTGACCCGCATCGATGCCGTTTGGGTGCCATTCGTGCGTCCGTCATGGAATGGTCTTACTAGGGCCGCGGCCTGCACGTATTTCCTAGCAGACTTATTTTGACACCCATGGCCTCAGGAGAGGGACGTCCAAGTTAGAAGAGGAATCTATATAGAGAGAAGACAGACAGACTGAGAGGAAGAGGGATATAATGAGAACGAGACAGAGCGAGGAGGAGGACGAGGAGGAGGAGGCGGAGGAGAGAGAAGGAGAGTGAAAGACTGTGACGAGTTCAAGGGGAGGACGAGGTGGATAGCGGAGGAGAGATAAGCGTAATAAGGAGGAGGAGGAGGAGGAGGAGGAGGAGGAGGAGGAGGGGTAGACTCTGGCACACGAGGGGCCTGCAAATTGTTCACGCTTCGCGAATCCCCACCAGCCCATCCTAAAACAGCCACTTTGGCAAAGAGTACCGACTGTCGGGATTTGTTGGTCATCTTTTCAGCAATGATGCCCAGAGGAGTTGCTTTGATTCGATCAGGGAAGTGTGGGAGCATACAGAGAAACGAAGGACAGGGGATGCCGCCATATCCCAAGAGGGGAGGATGGAGGAGGAATCGGAGGAGGAGGTGGGGGAGGGGAGGAGGGAGGAGGAAGAGGGGGAGGCGGACGAGGAGGGGAGGACGAGCAGAAGGGCCAGAGGCCTCTTGGATGCATCGCGGAGTCTCTTGGGATGTCTTTTGGGAGCCTCTTGGAGGCCTTTTGGGGCGTCTTGGGGGCCTCTTGGCGGCCCCAGGGGCTTCTAGGAGCGTCTTGGGTGCCTTGGGGGAGCCTCTTCGGGCCTCTTGGGAGCCTCTTGGAGGCCGTTTGGGGCGTCTTGGGGGCCTCTTGGCGGCCCCAGGGGCTTCCAGGAGCGTCTTGGGTGCCTCGGGGGAGCCTCTTGGGGCCTCTTGGGGGCCTCTTGGGGGCATCTTGGGGGCCTCTTGGAGGCCTCTTGGGGCCTCTTGGGGCTCTTTGGGAGGGGTCTGGGAGGTATCTTGGGGCCATCTTTCGGGCGATCGATCACAGATGGGGCGAGCATTTTTCTCCCTCCCCCCGTCGGGGCCACGATCCTCGTGAGGGGTGTCGAATTTTAGCCCTCCCAGGAGTCGAAAAAGACCCCTCCAACGACCCGCGAAAGGACCTCTCCAGGCCCAGGGGGAGGGGGTAGGGGGAGGGGTAAACAGAGCGGGCTCTCTAAACCACTCACGCCCAAAGGGCTGGTGGGATTCTAGAGGAGCTCGCGTGGCGCACGGGCATACACTTAGCACCTGCTTCCGGTCGGCGGCGCTGTTCAGAGCGACAGTGTCACTGCCGCAGTTGACAGGCATGGTCCAAGTCGATCCGATCTGGTACTGATATGTTGCTGATCCGATGCGGTCCGGTGTCCGCATGGCCATGCCGTGCGTCCTGCCTGGCGCAGCCGATCCGATTCTATGTCGACTCTGTGCCGATGCAGCCCGATCCGACGCACATTCCGATTCGATCCGATTTCCCGAGTCGATGCTGATCGATCCTGCAGCGCCATCGCCGCAGGTGGCACAGTAGGGAGGCGGATGGACCAAGACCCCCTCGCGTTTCGAAACAAAAGCATGGCGAAGGGTACTTTGACAATGTTCTGCTTCTGGGGTCCATTTTAGGGCCCGTCACATCACGACGCGGGACGCAGAAGTGGACCCAGAGAAGATGTTGCCAAACAGTCCCGACGTCGTGGGTCTGCGGAGGGAGGGTCCTCTAAGGCCTCTGCGGATCCTTGGGACCCTCTGGAGGTCCTGAAGGCTTTAGGAGGACCACAAGCATCCAGAAGCTTCAATGCCTCGAGGATCGCGGAGGTTGCAGGAGAAAACGAAGGTGCTTGGCTGGAGGAAAGAGCAGGAGGGGGGAAGGAAGATGCTGAGGAGGAGGAGGAGAGGACGGAAGATGGAGGAGGAAGAGGAGAATGCTGGAGGATGAGGGGGGGGTCAGGGAGAAGGAGGAGGAGGAGGAGGAGGAGGAGGAAGGGGAGGAGGGGGGACCAGGGGGGTGCGCGCACGAAAATGTTGTGTCTGTCGCGTCTTGTCGCTCCCCCCCTCGTTTTGCCGAAAGCCTTTGGCTCTGCAGATCAACCGGAGAGTTGGCGGCGCGCATGGTGGCCGCCGGGTTCGCTCACTGGCAGTGGGCGATCCTGGCCTTCCTCGCTTCGCTGCCCGAGTTGCGTCGGCTCACGCCAGAGGCGAACGAGCCCGCAGCGGTCGGTCCCAGCGTTGAGGCCGTGGTCACCTCGACGCTCGAACGGCTGAGGGACCAAGGCCCCCCGCCCCACCGCCGTGGGCCGTGACACAGGCCGAGGGCCAGGAGGGCAGCCAAGGGTGGGCCGCCCCCAAGTGTCGCTGCGAGTGCGGTGATTCCGAGGCGCCCTCGGGTGGCTGGGCCGGCGTCCTGCTGGGCTTGCTGACGTTCGGGCTCCAGGCGCGCGCCTGGCTACAGAGTCGTCGAGATGGCGCTGCTGCCGAGAGGCTCGAGAGGCGCGAGGCTGGTGCTGGAGACGGGACTCGTCGGCACCCAAGAGGCTATATCGTCTAGGCTGCGGTCGGGGCAGACTGCGGCGGTGAAGTATGGCGAGGATGCGCTCTGGCACGAACGGCTTCTGGTGGGCACGAGTGTAGAGGAGCTGGGGACGTCGCCGGGCTGGAACTGGCGCATCATCACGCCTGACGGAGATGAGTACGACGAGGCTGGACCGCATCGGCGCGCGATGCTTGCGCTCGACGGGAGTCCGCCGAGAGTGCTGCGTGGAAAGTTCGATCGGTTCAAGGAGTACCCGACCGACGAGCAGCTGGTACGGAAGGCGGTGGAGCACTACCGCATGCAGGCCCTGGCCGGGACTCCCCAGCGATTACCCGAGGACTACGTGACCAACGCTGGGGAGATCGCGCCGTGGCCTGACGAGGCCCGCCGTGAGATGGAGGCGGCAGTGGTGCCCCATGATGGCGGCGGCGGCGGGGGGAGTGCAGGGGCCCCGCGGCCGCCCCTCGGTCGGGCGCCGCCCGGCTGGTGCTGGATAGTGTTCGGGTTCGAGGGGCCGGACGCCGTCGGGACGGTGGTGGAGCCAACCGACGGCGTGGACGTCCCTGCGGGCTCCTGCACGATGCTGAAGCAGTATGCCGGCGACCTGTACGTCAAATGCTTGCTGGTGAAGCGGTCTGAGGCGGATGGCCGCGTCCGCGAGCTCCTCGATCTGACGGCCGCGGCGGGGAAGCCGTCCACGAGAGCGACGCCCGCGGCGGGAAGGGCACAGACACCCCAATCGCTGAGCCACCGCCGCGGTCGCCGAGGACTGTCGTACCTTGTGGGTAGATTTCGACCCCCGAGGTGAGCGGTTCAAAGAATGGAGGCAGGTGTGTCTGGACCCCCGCTCAGAGAAGTGGGGCGACGGGCCCGTAGAGGGGGCAACCTCGCTGCTGCGTTGGATGAACCAGACGCCCCGCAACGGCGGCAATCCCAAGATCTGGCTAGCCGAGTTCTGTCGGGGTCGTCGGATCGAGAAAACCGATAGGGTGTTCCACGAGTTGCGCAACCTGATTAAGGTGGTGTAGATTGGGGGTACCTACTACCAGCTGGTTATGCCAGCGCTGCAGAGCTTCGAGCGCATTTGCCGACGGATCGCTACCACCGTGGACGCCTACAGTGGTTCAGCCACTCCTTCTTGGCGGATGGCTCGACACCATGAGGGCGTCGCGGGGGCGCTGGACAGCGTGTCCCCCGCGCTCCGGCAGTGGGGCATCAGGAAGGCGAAAGACGATGACGAGCTGAACACGGCCCGCACGCGGAACCTGAAGGGCGGGGCCGATCACGATGACGATGGAGCCGGCGGCGGCGAAGGAGACAGGGCGGAGGGCGGCGGCGGCAAGAACCCGAAGGGCCGTGGCCGCGGCTCCGCCCCGAAGCCATGACGGCCCACGGTGGCCGGGAGATCGCCCCCGCCCCGGCCCCACCACGCGCGGGAGAAGGCCGCGCCATTGCGTCGAGAGGAGTCAGGGATCTCATCCCCGCGGCACGCGAGGAGAAGCCCGAGCGCCCCGCCGGTCATGGAGGGCGTAGGCTGCAGAGGTGGCGTCGCCGCCGCCGAGAGAGCGAACTGGTTGACAGCGCCTCGTCGGCGCATAATTGGACGCACGGCTCAGCTCTTGGACATGTCGCCCAGGGGGGGCCCGATGAGATGCAGCAGGATGTGCTTAAGTACGTGCATGGGCTGGCCCAGGGCGAACAGCGCGCGCGCAGACATCTTGATGCGCCTGCTACGCAAGTGGCCGTGCGGGAGTTGCAGCGAGGTCGATCCCTGTGCGGCACGGGGGCGAACTCACTGGCGCCCTTCCAGCAAGGCCGACTGTCGCTGCCAGAGTCGGTGGAGAGCCCCCTCCACATTGGCGATGTCCGCGGCAGGCGCGGCCGCGACTTCCTGGAGCGGGAGGGCGAGCGCATGCTTAAGCCCGTTGTCGAGGTCATGGCCGATCTCGAGCGCGACGGCACTCGTCGCTACTGCGACCCCGCCTTGGTGACGCACAGGACAGCGCACGTGACTTTTTTTTTGAAGGGCCTGGTGCGCCTCGGGCTGCTCGATTTCACGCTCGAGCCGCGCGAGGACGTCGGCATCTTCTGCGCGTGGAAGACAGGCCGTGAACGACAGCGGCTTACTCTTGATGCGAGGCGATCCAATCAGCGGTTCAGGCGGCCACCCAGCGTGGACCTGATCTCCGCGGAGGGCCTCAGCAGCATCGAGTTCGATGTGGGCCGAGGCGAGGAGCCCGACGACGAGCTGGCGACGTCCTTGGCTGAGCGGCTCTCGGTGACGGCAGGCGTCGCCGACGTGACGGATGCTTTCCACAGGCTGAGGATGCCGCTCTTCTTTCGGCGCTGCATCTGCTTCCCCGCGGTGCGCAGCGGCGCGGTCGGCCTGGCTGGCCAGGCCGTGGAGGGCGTCGTGCTGACGGGCAACGAGCAGGTCTGGCCTTGTCCCGTCGCCTCCCCCATGGGCTTCTCCTGGGGCCTCTTCTCTTGTCAGGCGTCAGGGGAGGAGCTGGCCTGCGCTGTGCCGCCGCTAAGCTCCGACAGCCCCCTGCGGGGCCGCGGGCGGCCGCTGGCGCTGGGATGCGAGCGCGGGGAGGCTCTTCGCCACTACATCTACGTGGACAACATGGGGATCGTGGGGGCGGAGTCGGAGCGCGCCAGGTCGGCGCTTGACGAAGTGACCGAGGCCTCCGCGGAGAAGGGGCTGTTGGTGCACGGGCAGGCCGCGACGCCAGGCGCGCCCGAAGTGCTGGGCGTCGAGATCGACGGGCAGCTGCTGCAGAGCCGAGCCTCGGGAAAGCGGCGGCTGCGGGCGCGGCAAGCCATTGCAGGGCTGCTGCAGCGCGGCCGGTGTTCGGAGAGCGCTCTGGAGGTCGTTCTGGGCCATGTGACGTTCTTGGCGATGGCTCGGCGCCCCGTTCTCTCCTTCCTGCACTCTTGCCATGCTTTCGCGCAGAAAAACTACCTTGTCAGTGCTCGATTGTGCCCCAGCGTGGTCGAGGAGCTCCAGGTATTTGCCGGCTTAATAGTCTTCTTGTGCAGCGACTGGGCCCGACCATGGAATCGGCTCGTCGTCGCTTCGGATGCCTCCGAGTTTGGATGCGGAGGGGCTGAGGCATGGTAGCCGTTGAAGCTCGCGCATCAGACAGGTAGGAGTCGCGAGAGAGATAGGCATCTAGTCACTAGTCCCCGAAGCCGTGGATGCCCGTGCGTCGGCCTTGGGGATCGAGGATGTCTGCGAGAAGTTGTCTATGGGGCCTGCTAGGCAGCGAGGGGGCCACGGGCCCCCGAGCGGCGCTCCCCCCTGCCATGCAGGACGTGGACCCCGAGTTTTTGGAGGTGCCCAGGGTCGGTCTGGACCCTAAGCTCTGGAGCCCGACATTTTGGGGCCCTTGGCGTTGGCAACAAGGGATCGCGCATTTCGAGACTCGGGCCCTCGCGATGAACATCCGTAGGATCGCTGTGGTGTCTGTCGGCCGTGACTTGCGACAGCTTCTACTAGTGGACAACATGGTTGTGTGTCTGGCTTTCGACAGATGCCGTGCCCGTGATTTTCTCCTTCTGAACCAAATGCGCCGGTTTTGCAGCTACTGTCTCGCCAAGAATATGCATGCAGTGGTGCGCTGGATACCGTCGGAGCTAAACGGCGCTGATGGCCCTTCCCAAATTTACGACCCGAAACATGGGGTACAAAGCAAGTCCAGGGGGCAGGTCAGTTTCAAGGCTGATCGAGCCAAGACCGACTCTCAAGAGTTGCGTCCGAGAGAGGCTGAGGCACCCCTTCCCGATTTGCCACCGAATCGTCCGTCACCATCAAGTCGCGTAGCCATCTTGGCTCAAACCAGCGGGGCCCCAGCCCCTTCTGGCCGCGTGCGTGATCCCGTTTTGATCCGCCCCGGGCCCCCTCGAGCAGTTCGATGGCCGTTGACTGGCGCCCAAACGCCTGATGAGGTGCCGGTTGCTGACGGCGCCGTCGGCGGGCGAGCGCCCCGTGAGCACGGCGACCGCCGCCCGCAAGCGCGCGCCGGGGCCCCCCGCGAAGGCGGGCGAGGAGCAGAAGCCAAGGCGGCGCCGGCTGCTGCCCGCCGCCGGGAGGCTGGGCAACAGAGGCCGCGCGGGCTTTGCCGGCAGTGTGGGAGACGTTCGCGGGGCACGGGCAGACGCTCCGCGCCGCCCGAGCCGCCGGGCGGTCGCGCTTGGGCGCTGCAGCGCCCAGCAGCTCGAGCAGCACTGGCACCGCATCCGAGGGCGCCGCGCCGCCGGCAGGAGGCCGCGAGAGGGTGCTCTGGAGGCGCCGCAAGCGGCGGGCGCTGGCACACGTGGAGGAGGCCTGGGACATGCCGAGCGCAGGCGCGAGTCTCCTCGAGCAGAAGGCGGCGCAGCACCAGGCCCGCAAGCAGTGCCAGGCCGAACTGGATCGCTGGCGGGAGCTTGCAAATCACGGAGACCTCAAGCTCGTGAGCGACGAGAGTGCGGACGGGATGCTGGCGCGCTACTTCGAGCGGGACTTCTTCCCGGGGGAACAGGCTCATCGTGGGGCCAAGTTGCTCGCCGCACTGATGCATGCGGAGCTGGGCTTTGGCTGGTGCGGCAGCCGCCGTGTGCCAGGGGCTTGGCGCGCCCTGAAGGGGTTGCGGCGGCTGGCGCCAGGGCGGTCACGCCGGCCGGAGCCGCTCTGTCTGTGGGCGGGGAGGGCCAACGAGATGGCTTCACGAGGCGAGCCCCGGATGGCGTTGTTCGTCCTGGTCTCAGTGAGCACCTACCTGAGGCCGAGCAGTCTGCTGGCCCTGAGACCAGAGAGCTTCTTGGCGCCGAAGCGGCCGGACGGCCACTGGAGCCTGCTGGCGCACCCCGCGGAGCGCGGGGTGCCCGACCAGATCGGAGGGCTCGACCACTCGATGCTGCTGGACAGCAGGTGGCTCCAGTTCATATCCCCTCTCCTGAGTACCTTGTCAAAGCAGGCGGAGGGGAAGGAGGCCTGGGGATTCGCGTATTACGACTATCTGAGGGTGTTCACGGAGTGTGCGAAGTCCTTGGGAGTCAGTGTCGTACCGTATCAGACCAGGCATTCAGGGGCTTCGATCGATCGGGAGTCTCGAGCAAGAACGTTAGGCGAAGTCAAACAGAGAGGGGGGTGGAAATCAGACAGCAGCGCGATGATAGACGAGAAGCACGCGCGACTTCGCCACAGAGAGCTGCGCCGCAACAGAGACCTCAGCGAGCATCTCCAGGCATGCGAGCGACACTAAGAGGGCATTATCCTGCGGGACAAGGTGGTGACTCGATGCGTCTGAAGGTGATGGGAAACCGCTGGTTCGTTGATCCGTTCTCGGGGACTGAAGAGCCCCTGGGGTGGAAGATACCCGTGCAAAGAGCTAGTTCTCAAGAAGGGCTTTGATGTCTTGGATAATGTCACGCCTGAGGCTGCTTACCGACGTTAGGTCGGGAAAAGTGGCCGGCGCAATGATAGCCTTGCCCTGCACTAGCTTCTCAATCGCTCAGAATGGCAGGCTGCGTTTCGAAGCGTATCCTTTAGGGCTCCCAGGTCTGACTAGCGAGCTGCAGTCCAAGGTCGATCGCGGGAACGCTCTGTTACAAGCTAGCACGCAGTTAATTCAAGCGTGTGCAACGCAAGGAACCCTGTGGATGTTGGAAAATCATTGAAATTCTTATGCCTCTAAGACGCCAGCCGTTTCGAGAGCTCTTGGATCTCGGCTGGTGTTCTGAAATCTTCTGTGACCAGTGTCAATATGGGACCCGTTGGAGGAAGCGCGCCGTGTTTCTGATAGGTAATATCCGTCGCGAAGACTGTTCGCGATTTCAGAGACAGTGCCGTTGTAGACGGGGCCTGTGCTCTCGTACTTGAAAAGCGCATTGGCATCTCCAAGGTAGAAACGGCGCTGGGGCCCAATGGACCGCGATCGCGGCCGAGTACCCCAGGCCTCTTGCCCGCGCGTTGGCCTTCTCCCTCCTCTCCCCTGTCCGCTCTCAGCTGCAATCGCGCTAATTATCCCAGCCACGCACTGCCCCAGCCCAATGCCAGAGAGCTCACTTTTTGTCATCAAGTGAACATCCGTATTTGGGCTGTTTTGGGGGAACTGGCAGCGGCTGCGCGTGGACGCTGCCGTTGAGTTTCGAGACGTATCTCCGCTCAGCGGAAGGCATAACATGGGGGCGCGCACGAAAATGTTGTGCCTGTCGCGTCTTGTCGCTCCCCCCCTTCGCTTTGCCGAAAGCCTTTGGCTCTGCAGATCAACCGGCCCTCCCCCCACACCCTTTTTTTTGTTCCCTGTTCGTCACCGTCGGGGGCTCACCACTGGGGTAACTGGCAACGGCTGCGCGTAGCCGCTGCCATTGAGTTTCGGGACGTATCTCCGCCCAGCGGAAGGCAAAACAGAGTAAATCCAATATGCATCAGCGATGCTGCAATACACCCGTCCCAAGTCCCCTCACCATACGTCCCTACAGGTTTCCCGCCTTCCTTTTCGCTATTGAAGTGCCCCCCATTGAACGACCACCTCAGTTGAGCCTGTTGAGCTGCCTTACATCCTTCGGGCGCGCAGTGAGGTCAGCGAGCAATTATGCCCATGCATTCCAACTTGGTATCAATCGAAGTCACCCTTTCGTTGAAAGACCACCCTCCACCAGCATAACCATAGCACAAAGTTTGAGCGGTGGCCATGGACTTCGAGGAAGTCTGGAGCGATACCTCCACGTGGAGGAAGTCTCGAGCGAGAGCTCCATTTTGAAGTATAGCCGCCCTAGATCCGTGCAGTGCTACATACGTGTTGAAGTTTTGGCTGCTGCAATATATTGAGGCGAGTATGCGCGGCGCTAAAGCGAGAGCGCCACTCCGAAAAGGAACAGCCCTCAATCCTTCAATCCTTCGATCAATCACTGAAGCATGTTCAAGCGAATGTGCGCGGCCCTAAGGCGAGAGCACCATGTTGAACACGACCCCCTTTCCGTCTCTGAAACCGATGCAAACATTTGAACGATTGGGCGTGGCGCGCGCTGAGGCGAAGGCGCATGTTCGAAAACGATATGAGTTCCACCCGCCCATTTCTCGCAAGATGTCGGAACGAATGTGCGCGGCGCGCTCGGGCGAGACCCACATGCTGAAAAAGAACCGCCCTTCATGCTTGAAGCTGCTGTTGAAGTTTAAGACAAATGTGCGCGGCGCCGAGGCGACAACAACAGTTTGAAAACGAGCCGCCATCTATCCTCCAAGTTGTTGCACACGTCAAGCTTCAGGACCATACATGGTGAGGAGGCCTCGGGCCAAACGCCCGGGCTCGACGGGGAGGAGTTCGCTGTGAGGAACAGGGGGTGGAGATTGGAGGACGGAGAAGTAGCTTTGAGGACAGAGGACAGAGAGGATGACGGAGGATAGACAGCAGGGGAGGGGGAGAGGCGTGAGGCGCGCCGAGCAGGACGGCTCCGTCTACGACGGCGAGTTTGCTTTCGGGCGGAAGGAAGGCAGAGGCCGACCGGGGGGGGGAGACGTCGCCCCCCCTCGTCGGAGGAGGGGCGGCCCGCCGGGGCTTCGTGGTTACACGCCAGTCGTTGGAAGCAGGTGCTCTTGCCAGGTGATCGCAAACATGGATCAAGGGGGCGTGGATTAACGACGGGTCCCGTTTCCATGCGAAATTGCGGATTCCCGCCGCCGAACGAGGCGACACGGGCCGCATTTTGGGGAGGGCACCTCCCCCGATCCATGGATTTGGCGACCGCGCGCCAAATCCATGGATCGCTAATCCATGTTTGCGCGCCCCCGATCTTGGC